GTATCAGGTGAGGCCTGTAGGAAATTCTCACCATCTCTTTCAAGATACGTGGCCTTGAGATCAGGTTTGCTGTAATGTAGCCACTGCTGTCAGAAAAGTTTGGACTTCTCTGAAAGTTATAAGCAATAGAAAGGAACTGATTGTTGCTGTTAGGCCTGGTTTTAATGAGGCAAAAATTTGTATTGTGCACAGTATCTGTGGAAGTTACATGTCTGCGTTTAGCTGCTGAGGACACATCTTGCATCTTATGTAATTTGGCGAGACATTCATATGCTCCTGTTTGGCAAGAAAAAACAGAAAGCTCATGGTTTCCTTGTAAGGGTCATTTTTAAGTTATTAAATAGTTTAATAGTTGGACTACATATCTTTGCTCCTGGCTGTCCTACTTTCATCCTGTGATCTCCCTCTGGCTGCATCTTATCTAGGAAGTGGCAGGTGGGGTATATATTGTGGTGTGGTTTATCTGTTGTCTGAACGCTGTTGAGCTGAAGGATAAATTATTGCATAGCAATCATGTCTGCGTGGATAACATGGCATGCTTTCCTCAGGATATGAAACTGTTCTTAACTGACTGATAACATGCCATGCACAGACATTGATTTAGTTGTAACATATTTCTATAAATTATGTCTGTAGTGCAACAAAGGATTCCATCAAAAGGCTGTGGGTTAAGTCAGGTTATGACATCGTAATTGCTTCCATATTCAATATTCATAATTTTTTATGGGCACATCTTCATTCATAGGCAGTCAGATGGTTAATACGGGATACCATAATGTACTTTTGACAGGAACAAGAAACGACCATTTGTATTGAATAAAAGACTATTGTAACCGTGCTGTTCAGCTGTCGGACAATGTTTTCAGCAATTCTGTCGGAATCAGTAAAAGAAATTTGTCCAAATGTATGCCAGTCTCAAGCACCTCATGAGAGTTGCATGTTTTCTGATACTGTTGAGCCTTGTGCTTTATAATCCTGGCAGACCCCATCCTTTTGCTAATCATCAACCGGCATGGATCTTACCCTATGATTACCCCGAG